TCAAGTTATGAATTATATTGATATTTTACCCCTTATTTTTATTTTTTCTCATTGAGTTGTTAATAAATATGGTCACTTGTTCCGAGTGATGGCTGAGGAATACAAGTTCCTCTGTTTTATTTATCCTACATTTAAGGAGAAATGTTGTTTTAGACTTCCTCAGAAAATGGTTTAATATACCTCTTAATCTCTCATTTCAAGGTTTTTGCTTCTTTTTTTTTCAGAGGTAATGGTACATCAAAAGGCAGGACTATGTTTCATTAACTGATTCATTGAGTTTATGATCAAAATATTGTCAGATATAGGCTTATTTATGTCAATTCTATAAGGACCAGTATATAGTCTTGTCAGATCTATAAATGCTACCTGGTCAACTTAGAAGCATGTTTGTTTCTACATTAATGTCAGCAAAACCCAGTCTCCTTGATTCTCTTTTTTCTTTTTTTTTTTTTAATAGTTCAGGCTTTACCTCAAATGCGCTCGGAGGTCTGTTGCTAAGTTACAACCAGGGCTCTTTGTACAACATTCCTAATGTAACTTATTTATATTAATTTATCTATATTATTTCTAACAGTTTCCCACTTCAATAGCAAGCTAGAATATTGATTTTTGTACATAGTTTCTTAAGTTCTATGTCATTCTCACGTCTTGTACTTCAACCTCTGTGTGGAGGTTTTTGAGTTTTGGTAATAACTTATTTACATATGGATGGTTATTACAGCGCCTGTGTTCATAAGGCATTTGGTCTCCATGGTTTACTGTTTAAAACTGTAAAAGGTTTAATGGTTACAACCTCTTGGATGTTAATATAGGTTTATTCAGATCTATATTACAATTTCATGTTAGTAACTGTGGCATCTTTATACAGGTATAGTCAATTACTGTGGTTGATGAACACCAATTGAATTTGACTATGCCTTCTTAATTTATGGTTTATAAAGCTCTCTTTTTTTACTTGTTGGATCCTCTTACATTTTCCTTATATCCTCCAAAAAATTAGTACTTCAGTGATCTTACTATAGGCATCAATTCAGCATTATGAGTATATGGAATTCAGTTCCTGCTAGTCTTCATGAAAAATGGTGAGAAATGTTTAGGTATCATTTTTAATAATGTTGCTACTTTACCAGCTTGGAAATCCTATTTGAGCCTACTTAATGTTTCAGTTTTAACAATGTGATCTTATAATCCTAAAAATACAGGAATTCACATAATTATTTCATTGTTTTATAAAGCTAATTACGCTATCATTGGAAGATTTTAGCAAAAACCTGAAATCTCTCATGCTCGATGCTTTGATTGGGAATCTTCCAATAACAATGTTTTGTTTGTTTTTTTTGTTAATTTTTAAGTTTTTTTTTACTTTTTCCCTCATTAATTTAACTTAATTAGAATAGGTTTTATTTAACAACTATCTATTAAACTTGAAAAGTTACTGAATATTTGTTTATATTAATTATTTTCAAATGCATTACTATTAGTCTTAAGTATTTGAATTCATATAAAAAATGTCTGTAGGTTTATTCATAAACTTTTCAGAAAATTACTTCCACAATATAATAATCAGGATGAAACAAAATTGTCAGGATTTACAGACAAGAATTTTTATTAGGTTAGCTGACATTTGCACCCAAACATGTGGGTCATCCTCAGGGCTAAAGATTACAAAATATAAAATAACATCCATAAAATAATAAATATAAAAGTGTAAGGGTAATAAGAATACAGAATAACAGTAACAAGATTATAGTAATAAGATTAAATAAGTAAGCAAATAATAATAAAAGTAAAGAACTTTTATAATATAAAGAAAAACCAGGGCTTTAATAGTTTTTTCGGGTATCTATCTTCTCCCATCCTTTTCATGTGCCCAAGCCAGCTTATCCAGCTTGATTTAACATAGCTGACTATATCTGATTCCTTATAAAGTTCTCATAATTCTCTATTATTCCTTATTTTCCAATGACCATCTATACATATTGACCCATAGATCTGTTGAAGGACTTTCCTTTCCCATATCTAAAGGATCTTCTCGTATTCCTATATCAGGACTCACCAATTAATTGACAATTAATTTCAAGATCGTGCTATGAACAAGTAGCTTCTTCCATCTTCTATATGAAATTTCAAAAATGCACTGTTTTTCGTAATGCAAAAAGACACCTGTTGCCTGCTGCGATTCTTGCTTTTATTTCTACTATCATGACATTTTCGCTCGTCACCAAAGCTCCTAGATATTTAAAACTGTAAACTTTCTTAGAAGTGTGGTAGAGCAGTTGCGTGCTACAGGCCTTTTCTGTTCCTCACTTTTTAAGGATATCATATATTTTTTTTCCTTATTTATCTTATGACCCAATTTCTTTCAGCATCTCCTAACTTCTGTAAAGCTCCTGATAGTATGGCTCTAGATCTTGATGATATTACCACATCATCGTCAAATGCTAAGTGTTGGGTGAGTCTATTATATATTGTTCCTCCTGGGTTCGTCTTAATTACTGTGACTGCTTGATCCAATGCAATATCGAATAATACAGGAGAAAAAGGATCTCATTGTCCTAAACCATTCTCTACCTCATATTCTTCTAACAGAATGTTCTGTATCTTCACCCTGCATCTGGTGTTTTTAAGAGTCATCATATTCAATCCTACTAGCTTTTCTGAAACTCCAAGTGCTTTCATGACTTTAAGGAGTTCATTCCTATTGAGGTTTTCATATGCTTGGTGGAAATCGATAAAGAGGTGATGGTAATCAATATTATATTCATATGCCTTCTCCAGCATTTGTTGAATGGAGAAGATCTGGTCTATTGTGCTTCTTCCTGGTTGATAGCCACTTTGGTATTCGCCAATATTTTCTCTGCCCAGGTCATAATTCTTCTGTTTATTGCGTTCCCTTTTTCTCTTATCCCCAGCTTTTGTATATATAAAGTCTTGACCAGATAATGGTCTGAGTCCCAGTTAGCTCCCCTATAACTGTGGACATCAAAAATGTTGCTGGCATGTCTGGCATCAGTGAGAGCATGATTGATTTGGTTTTGGGTCTGGTCATACAGTGAGGTCCATGTTTCCTTATGAATATCCTTGTGGGGGGGAGGGGAGGGGAGAACATGCTTCTTATTCTAAGGTTCCATGCAGTTGCAAAGTTAACTGTTCTCAGTCCATTCTTGCTAGTTTCCTCATGTTTGCTGTGCCTTGTCTATTATTGGGAAGAATATCTTTTCTTTTCCTATCCTACCATTAAAAGATGGTTTTTAAATAAAAGTTATATGAAGCCATTTAGATATAGATACTAACCCTGTCTAGATTACCCTATATCTGAAAATTTCATAAAAATTGGATTAACACTACTAGGTGTCATGCCTGTCACAGGGATTTTACTATAGACTGTCATAGCTTTTGAAAAATTTAATTTTTCAATTTTTTTTCAGATCCTGCATTAATGCTAAGCTTTCCTACGCATGTTTGTGAGGAAGCTAAGTTTAGTTAACATTTTTTATGATAAATGCAATCCATTGGTACCACTATATCCCTCATATGAGAATTTATTTTGATTTTACAATATATTACAAATTCAACTTAAACCTATAATGATTTAAAAATTTTTAGACAAATACTTTGAATAAAGTCAACATGTTTATGTTAATGAATTCTCTGTCAATATTGATAAAGCTCTTGGAAGTAGAAGTTATGAAAACTATTTATAGCTGTGAAAAACAAGAAACTTGTTCCAAATTCCAAACTTGGAAAGAGCGTGGGAACCTTTTTCAGCACATTAAGTAGGATATAGTGCTCTACATGCACTCTAATATTTAATCCAGGAATATATTGTCAAAAAGTACAGTGACCATATCAACAGTACTAAGCTGCACAAATCTAATAATTGTATAAACCACTGCAGAAATGGCTCTTATGACTTAAGAGCAGACATATAAAAAGAAGACAAACCTCCAAACGGAATATAAATTCTCCTAGGGTAGTACACATTGTTATTTCAATCTGAATCTAAAAAGTAAAAAAAATATTTTTGATACCAACAGCCAGGCAAAGATAGAGACACTCAAAAACTATTTTAAATGATTGAGAGTTATAAGTGATAATAAGGCAACTCTAAACAACATTGCTCAGTATAATAACATAATTTTTGAATGGGTACCAGGTCATTCTGACATAATAGGCAACAAAGCTGAAAAGTACCAGGAGAGGCTTTGAGAGTATTCTCATCACTGTAGTACCAGTCTATGACCTTAGCTATGGCCAAAGAAGAATTTGGTAGGCGTGCTAAAGTTAAGCAATATTGGGATAATAAGAAACAATTACTTTCTAAGATGTTTCTTGATAGTACAAGCAAAGAAGAAACAAAATGTTGCTCAAATTGGATAGGGTCTTCATAAACTAGACGGTCGTGTGTTTTAACTTAAGTTGACAGGTTCACTCTTGTGCAAATCCTCTCACATTGATGATGAAATAGCCTACCAGTTATCTGCTGATACGATAAATTCACTAAGCTGACGTTTGGAGTGGATCACATGGACAGCAATGTTAAGGAGCACAATAGGTCTGGATAAGCCGCAGTGAATTAAGCCATCTAAAATAAAATAATATCTATGTCTCTTATATGTGCCTATGTGTGTGTATATATATATATATATATATATATATATATATATATATATATCACTGTTTTTGGCATTGATGTTTACATTTTAATTGATAGGGTAATATATTTCTTTATAGTTTTTTTATTCTTATTCTATTAGTTATTTTTATTCTAAAATTAAAATTAATAAGTGAACATATGACCTCTTGAAAAGTAACTGTCAAATGGAAGGATTAAGCTACTTCTATTAACTATTTGTTTTGAATAAATCTTGTTGAAATGGCAAAGTATGTGATATAAATGATTTACATTTGCTGCAATATTAAAAGTTTAATATGTGTATGTGTTAAACACATTAAACTTTATTTTTTATTACGGATCACTGTAATATATTTTGTGATAGGTGATGAAGAAGCAGCAGTTACTGGAAACAGTCACATGGTAAGTGGTATTGGCGTAGGCTCTGCAACTGCCCAAGGCAGTAGTGATGGTTTTGCTCAAAAGAAAGATGAATCTTCAGATGACCACAAAAAGGAAAAATCCGTACTTCAAGCAAAGTTAACAAAATTAGCTATTCAAATTGGATATGCAGGTATTTATTGCCAGATTTCAATTTTCTTTTCTTTTTTTTTTTGTAAATTATTCACTTAATTACTAAAATTTTCAGGATCAACTATTGCTGTTTTGACTGTTGTTATACTGGTTATTCAATTTTGTATAAGGACATTTGTGATTCAACAAAAACCCTGGAGCAATGTTTATGCTGGTGAATTCGTTCGTCACCTGATTATTGGTGTTACTGTCTTAGTAGTAGCTGTGCCTGAAGGGTTACCATTAGCTGTGACATTATCATTAGCCTACTCTGTCAAAGTAAGCACCAATTAACTTTACCAAAAGTAAAGAAGGTGATATTAGTGAATTTAGTTTAAAACAATTTTAGTTTATGTAGTACTCTTCTTTTCATTTCTTTTATTTGGGAATCAAACATAGGAGTGTGAAAGATTGTATGAATTTATGTGAATCATATGAGAGCAGTATGTTTAAAAGGTTAAAAATTGTATGATCTATTGAGGTTGGTATATGATGCCCCACTGAACTTATTGGAGTGGAGAGGTTTGCATGATGATAGATCTAAAATAATTTGAGGAATGAAATTTTTGACTTGTAGATAATGAAAAAAATAGGATGGTTTAAGGTAATGAACATTTTTTAAATGAACTGAGGTTATTAAGTAAACCAGTACTAAAAGATGATACGATTTTGCCTGGAGAATCATAACATGATGGCCTAGTCAAGTATCTGAAATGGAGTATAGGATGTTAGATAAGAGTATATGGAGTCAGATAAAGCTTGAGTGAAAAGATCAAGTTGGTCAACAACGATTCATTCATTCAGGATTCATATTTCATATAGGTCATAAGATTGGAATAGTCTTTGACTAACTGGTCTAGGTAAAATTCAAAATTATCAATAAAAGGAACCTAAGCAGGTAAATTAACAACAGTATAGGAAAAAGAAACGTTCGATATTTCAAGCAATACCTATGTATTAAAAAATAATAGGAAAAAGGTGATTAGAGAAAGAATTTAGTCTTGAGAATGTTATGTGTTCTAGAGAATGTCATACAAAGACACAATGGTTTTGGAGGAAGAAGCAATACCACCAGACAGAGAGGAAATTAATGCAAAATCTGACATTATCTTTTACGAAGTCAAATCTATCATGGTGACTACTGAGCAGGTTTTATATAGTTTTATTTGGGCAAAAGTTTGTTAGGAATTATTGTAGGAACCGATAGTTTGGCTTTATAAGAGAGTATGGATTAATATGGATTATTTTTTTTTCTGTCTTGAGAATAATTATTTAATCTTCAAATTAAATTCAGTTATGCATTTGAAAAATATGTAAATGTTTATATTGCCATTTAAAAAAAAAAATATCATTTATTTACATATTTGTACAGTACATTATGTCGTAATAATGATTACATGCTAGTGGTTACTATTACCTTACACATATTATAACAGGGGCGTGATTGCTAATTTAGTAGGCAAAAATCTAATTGTACTCAGTAGAAAAAACCTACATAAGATATAAAAGTTTCCATTATTAATTTGTGATAGCATGTATTAATGTTTATACAATGTATATATATATATATATATATATATATATATATATATATATATATATATATAAATATTAATAAATAATCATAAAACTCGTATATATATGAGTTTTATGATTATTTATTGATATTCATTCCAATCCTTGTTATTAAATATTTATCAAATTGTTATTTTTATTCTTAGAAAATGATGAAGGATAACAATTTAGTTCGACATTTGGATGCTTGTGAAACTATGGGAAATGCAACAGCTATTTGTTCTGATAAAACTGGGACCCTCACCACAAATAGGTAAGTTTAATTTATCATATTATTACATTTATGTTATTCAAACTTACATATCTTATAATATAATATTAAAAATAAGTTTACTATGTCGCTTTAATGTTAAAAGCAATTATTCCAAAAATAAAGTTTACTATATGGAATTGTTAAACATAAATCTTATTCCACATACATCAGACTGTCCACCATTTACCAGACAACTATCATCTAAGTGGTGGGAAATTTAGCAAGAATCTTGAGAACATTTTAGAAAATGTGGTTATTCCAAGACAGCTATTGATCAAAATTTACTCCAAGGTTTCTAATGTAAGTGTGGATGTGAACAGAATATTTTAACTATTTAAATGAAAATATTTCATTCTGAACATACTTAATATCCACTGCTATAAAATCTTCCATCATTACAAAAGTTTAGTTTTTTCATAAATTGACAATTAATTATTCCCAAAATGCATTAATATTCCCTATTAATTCTAACTTTTATTTAAAAATCATGGACGATTTTTATTTTATTTTTGCTTTTTTGGAGACTAAAAAAAAAACTGTAATATTTAGATTTTTCTTAGAAATCTATCTCTGAAATAAATAATGAAAATATTTACCTATCATAACCTGCCGTGGAGAGGTGCCATCAGAACCATCTTAGGGATTACTTGGTTATCCATCCTAGCTATGTGTACAGCCCATCTCAGTTTTCCAAGCTTCATTTTCAGGACATCTTCATAAACAATTGAGTAAATTTCAATGTTCTTCCGCCTTCTCCAGCCTCTATTAATTTGAAAAATCTCCTCCAAAAATTCTTTGTAAAATTTTCCTCTCAAAGAATAGAAGATCTTGCTCAATTTTCTTACTAGTTGTCCATGTTTTTGATCCATACAACAAAACTGGGTGGATTTATGCTTTGTAAAGATGAAGCTTGGTCTTAGAATGGTATAGAAGGTGAGAGGTGAATTCCTTGTGGAGACCAAAGTAACACCTGTTGGCCATCAGTATTCTTTTCTTCACTTCAACCTCAGGTGTATTATTGTGCTTGCTTCACTTTCTCAAAATTATATGGGCCAATATTGATAGTCTCGCCAGGTCAAGGGACTTCTTTTGAGAGCTAAAAATCCCTCTCTGACTGACTGCCATAACCACCTTCCTCCTCGTAGGCTAATAGCTGGACTATCTGGACCACAATCTTGTCAGTTTGCAAACCTCAATCCCTCACTGCCTTTTTAAGTGCCAAGTTAAACAGGAGGTGTGTTAATGCATCATCTTGGCGAAGTTTTAAGTACAAAATATTCACCTCATTAATTAAACTATCAGCTATTCTTTAAACTTCAGTTGTATGTTTGTTTTTTCAGTATTCATCATAACCAGTAATCCATACAGAAATCTCGAAACTACCAATCTGACCTTTTCGATTACATTGTAAAATTTATAATGTATGAAAATCATGCAAAATAATTATCAGATGTTTTTATGTATGGGCACATTAAGAAACACAATAACTGGCATTCATAATGAAACTGGTATTTTAACGTTTTTTTTTTTAAAGTATTAGGCCAAAGGTCACCAATAATAAACTTTTTCCTTTATGCATTTATTATGCAACAAATAAATAAATTTTAATTTAGTTGTTTTTCTTTAAAATATATCATTATAAAATATACAATAATTTAGCAAGAATCTTGAGAACATTTTAAGGATAGCAATGGATTTGTAGGTTACATACATAGTCCTTATTCTATTTTAGAAAAAAGATTGTTTATATAACGTAACAATTTTTGAATATTTTGGTTTAAAATTATTGCAGAAAATTATCTACATATCATGCACCATTTTATAAAAATGTTTTAAAATATGTCATTATAATATAATTCGTCAGTTGATCATTCTCTTATTTCATCGAATGTCGTTTTTATTTCTAAAAGTTATTTATACATAATTAAATTTTAAGAAAACAAAACAAAAACAATATAATTTGATCTTAAAATATTTACCTCCTTAGTAGAAGATATTAAGTGTGTTATTCATCTATAACACATTCATTCAATACTGGATTTATTTTATATAGGAGTGGGATGGAGGAGTTAAGATTCTGTTGTTTTATTTGAAGTCATATTCAGATCTTTTAATTTTGTCTATTGCACTAGCATAAAAAGTGTTAAGATTCTTTAAATGTTAAGGTAAGGTAAAGATGTTAAGATAAGAAGTATCCTATGTTCAAACCATTGTGAGGTTTGTCCCTAGTATGCATTATTTTCACAATCCTCACATTGTATTTTATTTATAATATTATTATTAATATATTATTTATAATATTAGTCAATTTTTCTTTAGGAATAATATCCTTAGTTTTACTGTATAATTTTCCTAATTTATTAATTGGTTTATTCCCAAATTTTATTTAATTTAGATTATATTTTTTAAAAATGTTTTCTATTTTATTAGTAAAACCTCTAATATAAAATGATATATTTTAAAATATTATTATGCATGGTACGTAGATAATAATTTCCTGCAATAGTTTTAAACCAAAATATTCAAACATTGTTATTGAAAGAAGTTAGTCGACTGTTCTACATATCATGGGTGATAAATATTCAGGACACAGTCATTATAAAGTTATTGTTAACTTTGAATTGTTAACTTGTGAATATTTATCACCCACAAAAATTGTTATGTTACATAATTTTTTTTTTCTAAAATAGAATAAGAACTATGTATGTAACTGACTGTTCAAATTATCATATGTTTTATAATGATATATTTTAAAGAAAAATAACTAAATTAATATTTGTTGGCAGAATCTTGAAAATAGCTTGAAAGGCCAAATGTTGAATAATCAATACATAAAGTGAAAACGTTTATTATTGTTGGCCTTTGGTGTGAAAAACATAAGAAATTACATCAAACCACAAAAATATGACTAGAAAATGACATTTTAACTGTAATTAATGATAAGAGTATGTTGAGAACTAGCTAGGTTTAGCCCTTGGAATTTTGTGGAGGAGTTATAGCTCTTGGGATTTGGTGGAATAAACAATCTGGTACTTTACTTAAAAAGGTTGGATACCTCTTCTCTGATATATGAGGTTTATAGAAGTTTACACCATCAAGTGTATCCTTAAAGAAAACCTTCTAGCTGTACTGAAATAATTGAATTGTTACATATTTATGATTTTGCAAATCCAATTAATTCTGTAAGTGATATTCTATTTTTTCAATTAAAACGTGAAAAGAAGAAAAAAATGTTGGTTTAAGCAAATGGAGATCTCAAATATGAATGTTCAGATTTAGTGAGAGTACTAATTTAGATAAATACTTATCTAAACATTAAATTAGAATATTGAATGTAGGCACAAATAATTAATGTAAATTTAACTCCTTATATCCTAATATTTTATCCTAGATTAATCTTATTCATTTTTAATTTAATGTATAATTAACTAGAGCTTATTATTTTTTTTTTAGGATGACAGTTGTTCAATCATATATCTGTGAAGTTTTAAGCAAAACAACCCCAAAATTTTCAACTATTCCAGCAAGTGTTGGTAATCTAATTATTCAGGCAATATCTGTTAATTCTGCCTATACTACACGTATAATGGTCAGTATAATGTTAATTACTCATTATTTCTTATCATTTAATTTATCTAACAAGAGGATGTCTAGTTTACATATTCATTAACGCTTTTAGTTTTAATCATGATAAGTTATAGTTTTTAGACTCACAATTAGTTTTAATTATTTAAAACTTTAGTAATTAATTTATAGTGTACTAATATTGCTGTATTTTATCAATCTTATGAGCCAGATTGTGGTACAAAACTGGGTAATAGAGTTGACAAATTTTCATATGTGATGAGGATTAAAATTTTTCTTTAAATGGTTCTGTCATAGCTTGCTGCATTGAATAAGTTAAAAATTATTTGCCATCTCTGATTTGCCAAGCAAATTTGATTTATTGGTTGAAGATATCTTAATTGGAGTCAGTAAAATCATTATTGCTTGTGTAAGAGACTCTAGAGTTTAAATTGACTTCATAAACATTGACTTAACTAACTATTCAATTTTTAACAGTTTCCAATATTTGTATTAAGGCTGAATAATAACACTAAATGGCTTTGAACACTGTAATACCTACACAGAAAAGTAAAAATATTAACTTATTAAGATTAGCCAACTCTAATGAATGCAAACAAAAACAGACCCTAGAGAAAGGTTAAAGGCCACCTATTCTGGTATTGCTAACAATAAGTACCTAAACTATTTGAACATACTAACATCTAGGCAACCTACTTATCATTTGAATAAGTTCTAAAATCTCTTAAATATTAAAAACAATATATTTGTATATAGGTGTGCACAAATAAAATTGTGTATGTATCAGGTATTCTTATGTATGTACAAAATGATTTTCAGCCTGGTGATGATCCAAATGATGTTCCTAAGCAAGTTGGTAATAAGACTGAGTGTGCTTTACTTGGTTTCGTACAATCATTAGGCAAAAATTACCAAACCATAAGAGATGATATTCCAGAAGAAGTGTTTACTCGAGTTTATACCTTCAATTCTGTTAGAAAATCAATGTCCACTGTTATTCCAAGATCTGGTGGAGGTTTTCGCCTGTTCACTAAGGGGGCTTCAGAAATAGTTTTGAAAAAGTATGAACTCTTAATTTCTACCTATTGTTGATTATCTAAATTTTATTTATTTAATTCCTTTATTTTATTATATACTTCAATTTCGTTGAAGCTAATATTATTTTAATATAATACATAATATATCAAAACTATATGTTTAAAAGTTTATTCTTGTTTAAGATGTGCATTTATTTATGGACGTGAGGGCCATTTGGAAAAATTTACTAGAGAAATGCAAGAAAGGTTAGTGAGGAATGTTATTGAACCAATGGCTTGTGATGGCTTGAGGACTATATCAGTAGCTTACAGGGACTTTGTACCTGGAAAAGCTGACATAAATCAAGTTCATATAGATGGTGAACCCAATTGGGAAGATGAAGAGTACATAACCAATAATTTAACAGCTCTGTGTGTTGTTGGTATTGAAGATCCAGTTAGGCCAGAGGTATGATGTTATTTGTAAAATAGTAAATAGTGCCATAGAATAGTGTAATAAACTATCTTAAACTGATAAGGTCTGCTTCCCTTCTGAGAATTCATTCCATGCATTATATAATGTGTTAAGACTGAAAATTTAAGAATTTTTCCTCTCTTTAACAAAAACTGGGAAGTACAGTAATCTTTTTCCAATTTTCACTTAAATGAAGTGAAACTTCTCTTAGTGGACACTCCTCTAAAACAAATTTCTCTCACTTTTAAATTATAATAATTTTATGAAAAATTTGATACTATAAAATTATTATTTTTTAATAATTTTATAGCTTTAAAATAACAAATATAGAATGCTTAATGCAAGGATTGTGATTGAAACATGTCTCAATGATGAATAGCAGAAAACCAGTTAGGCTGTTCTTCTTAGAACTCAATCCTGTTTATAATAGCTTAGTTAAGTTAAGTATACTGAGAATTCGGTTTGGTAGTAGTGATTATAGTTTTAATCTAGTCATTAATTCTCTTACAGAACTGATTGGCAATATGTCAACTTATGTCTTTTTAACTTAAAACAAAATAAATTATAATCAGTGGGTGTACATGAAATACTCAATATTCACATATTATTTGCTTGGTTCAAAATTGAATATACAGAGGTATATAACATTACAAAGAAAAGAAATTTTTAAAACTTCAGACCTTCATCATAGAGATCAAGTAACATTCCCCTCTCTGGCCATCTGTTTAAAAAACATTTTTTCAAGTTGTACAGAATTCAAAACTAAATAATTTTTAGGGCATCGACTTGATGGTGGGATAAATTTAGAACCTGTAAAAATGTTTTCTATAAAGAAATTTGCAAGGAGACTGGCTCTGTTTTTTGTTTTGTTTTTTAATATATATATTTCAAAGGAAGATGCTAAAGAAGCATCACTGATTTTTTCTCTTCAAGATATTTTGGAAAACAAAGTAGTTATGTTAAAAATAGTTTCAATAAACATTACAGATTAATATTATTTTTTCTTTTCTTAAATTATTAGTTTCATTTTTTTGTGTACAAGTTTTATGTTTTATATATGTAATTTGTAATTCCTCATTTGTGTGCTGATTATAAAAATTATATTATTTCTAATAAAAATATACTTAATTATTGGTTCATAGATTACTTAGTCATAATAGATCCAACTTAATATAATCAATAAGAAATATTTTATCATAATAATAAAGCTTAAATATTTTACTCGACTACCAATTTTTGATTAAAATTATTCAACTATGATATTAAAATTAAAATACTATCACATAGTGAATTTAATTATATAAATTGTCATATTTCCCACCATATTTCATATTAATTTAATGAATACTTTTTTATTTAAATATTAGGTACCTGAAGCTATTAGAAAATGTCAGAGAGCTGGAATTACTGTTAGAATGGTTACTGGTGATAATATTAACACAGCAAGATCGATTGCTACAAAGTGTGGCATTGTTAAAGCTGGAGATGATTATTTAATTCTTGAAGGAAAAGAATTCAACAGAAGAATAAGGGATTCAAATGGAGATGTAATTTTGTATAATAATAAGTTTATATTGCTTGATTTTTTTTTTAAATTAAAAATTAACCCAAAATCTATAACATGTCGATTGCCATAATAATTTTCAGGATTCTAGTCTTTATTTAATTTACTCATATGTTATTGTTGAATACTCTAATTTTAATTTTAGTAATCATCAAAAACAAATTTCATTGTAGCTGCAGAAATATGGCGTCTTATCAAACTATGAGATAACTCATTGTTGGCATCCTAGGAAAACATACTAAGTACAAGTTACCTCATAGTTCGGTAGTTAACCTGTTTAAAAAATTCTAATGATTAAGCTTATAAAATGAAAATTACTTTTATTTCGATCCGTATTATAATTTTGTGGCTATTAATTTGTAAAATATTTGTACTTAAAAATCAGTTCCTGTTTCATGCAGTTATAAAGCTGTTGTATTATTCAGATTAGTACTATTAGTGGAGTATTATTGGTTTCAGGAAAAAGTATTTCAGTTAGAACAAGAGTGTTATTTTTATTCGTTGCTGCACTTTAGTTGATATAAATGTATATTAATATGTATTACTAGTAAAATAAAAAGAAAGAATCATGTTCTTCAATATTAATATATTATTGTTCAGTTAAAATCTCTCTTATTCCAAGATGATTTATTTGATTAAATGTATAAAAATAATGTTTTCCTTAACTGTATTTTATTTATTTTGTATAATATTCTTATATTTTCTACAAAGATGTTCTAGTATTTGTAAAAAGAAAATATTCAGAAAGTTTGCCTTTATCAGAACATTGTTTTGTTTGTGTACAAAGCAATATAAAGGTAGTTGAAGAGAAGATTGGTTGGAGTGATCAGTCAAAAAAAAAATATATATATATATAAAAATAAATAAGTTATATTTATTGTTAGTTTTACTGACAATGTGGCCCAAAGTTCGGGCCTTCATCAGGGCTGGTGAAACAAAAGATTTCCACAAGACTTTTGGTATTGCGGAAGACTTTTAGTCTTGAAATTTTTCATTTGACCAGCCTTAATGAAGGCCTGAACTTTGGGCTGAAATGTAGGCAAAAATAAAAATAAATATAACTTATTTATTTTTACATTTTTTTGCTTTTTGACTGATCGCCTCAATCAATCTTCTCTTCAATTATTCACTGCATTCAACTATCAATCCATAATATAAAGATAATTTATGTTTCTATGTTTTTATTTTCTAAGTATACCTCTAATTATTTCTTTTTATAAATAGGTCCAACAACATCTGATTGATAAGGTTTGGCCAAAACTTCGGGTCCTTGCTCGTTCTTCACCAACTGATAAATATACCTTAGTCAAAGGTATCATTGACAGTAAAATCAGTGAAAGTCGTGAAGTTGTGGCTGTTACTGGTGATGGAACAAATGATGCTCCAGCTTTGAAAAAAGCTGATGTTGGCTTTGCAATGGTATCATTTTTATTTATTCAAATAATTTATTAATTTATTTATCAATACCTGTATAACTGTTTCCTATGGCATTTAAATTCATCTAAATATTTCAACCCAGTAAATTCAGTTGTTAAAAGTTAAATTACTCTTCTTTTTCAGAAACCTCATTTAAATTAAAATTGTGTAAGACTTTTTAAAAATTATATTATTATTATTAACAAACTGACAGCATAGCACAATACACTAAAAATTAAAAAAAAGAAAATTAAAGGCTTTCCTTTAAAACCTGTAAGTCCCACAAAACAAATTTTACACAGGAAGCAAAAAACATAATTATGTTACAGAAAAAAAAATATTATTTTTCCTAATATATTTTGAAAAATCTCAGGAATTTTCAGGAAACATAGCTCTATATATTATGAATATAAAAGTAAATGAGTGAGCATGAAGTCCTTGCAAGACTTTATGGGTGAAGTAAATTTGACTTACTAGGTTTTCAACCTGTTGACTATATGTCAACAGATTTTCAGATATAGTCAACATATTTCTCATATCTCTCGATGGACAATTTCCATCCTCAAACTATTCCATCGCTTCCGCCATCTCCTACCTTAACACACGTGTAGATTCTTGGTCTCCTCTCTCATTTTTCCCCACTTTGACTACAGCTGTCTGTTTTATGATGGCCTCTCTGTGGAGCTCCGCGATAGACTGAAAAGACTAATGAACAGCTGCGTAAGATTTTTGATCGGGGCTCTAAGATAATTCCATGTCTCTCACCACTGAGTTAAAGTGGCTTTTTCCCTCCTTCCGAAGACAATATTTCCTAGGTACGTTCCTCTTCCAAATCAGAAATAAATCATCAACAATCATTGTCCTTCTTACACCTACAACCTTCTCCAATTCAAATCCTCAGTCCGTTCCCTGTCCACAAGATCTCGACCTTCTAACCTTTACATGCCTTCTCACAGATCTGCCTCATTCCAAAACTCCTTTATTGCTTGCTCTGTCAATTTCTGGAATTCCCTCCCTATCAAAATTCGACCTTCCCCATCCATATTCACATTCAAAACCTTCCTATTCCAATTCCTATCCCAAAAACAGTCTGATAGTTGCTAACCATTTGACAACACATTTATTTGATGCCATTCATTGTCAAATGTCAATACTATTCTTTGCTAGAGATATTAATTTTCTTATAGGGTAAAGATTTTCCTACTCTTGATGTCACTGAACGCATCTATTAGTAGTTTATAACTATTATCTTTTATACACCACCAAATTCTTGCCTGTTGTTACGTTAAGAAATGATGATGATGATGTATTTATACATTAATCAACATTTAAATGATATTGTATTTATATATTAATCGGGCACTTTATATTATCAGGTTCAGCTTTCTGTTTTCTCACAAAGCTTATTTTAATGAAGAATTTAATATACTTTTATTTTTTAATTCTTTATTGTTTTCTTAAAAGTGTATACTGGTCTATCAGTGCAAATAGCTTCAAGTGTCTTGTCATAGTGTTAATTGTTTTGTATATGATTTCATTTGTTTTGTATATAGAATATTTACCTTATATTTTCTTTAGATTATTTATTTTTTTCTATTGATTTTATTTTGGCCAGATGTAATCTTTTAATTTTGTTCTATGTTGTTATTCTCAAGTTATTTTCTATCTATCTATCTATCTATATTTCCATTCACTGAGATCTTCGGGTGATTCTAATATTTCCTCTAGACTTCTCTGCTTACCATAGACATAAGTGCCTCATAATTTTGAGGTATAATTGGATATGCCAGGAAGCACCCTAACTTTGTTAGTTGGTCTGCTTTTTACTTTCCTTCAGTATAAGGATATCCACCATGGTATGCAGGGTCTTTACTTTCACTGTCAAGCTTGCTTTTGCTGGTACAATCCAGGAGAGAAGCTCTCTGCTTCTTTTGACGATATAAGTGAATTATTCATCAAGAAATTACTCTTAGGGGTCAGTTGATCAACTAACCTCTATTACCACAACCATATCCTTATTTTTCTTCCTAATGATAGTCCTTAACTAGATCACTTTTGAGCAATTCTAACCGCCTTTATTCCAGATTGTAGTTATTGCTTCTTTTTTTTTTTAAATACTTACCTCTAACGCCGGATCAAGAAAAATAGGGACATTGGGTGTCTGCCTTGGCAATTTACTATTTTATATTTCTCTGGTAAGCAATAATAATTTCTGAATCTCCCAAAAGTTTCAACTTATAGGTCATAAATTTGACACTTTTTTTTTAGATTTATTCAATTATTTTGTGAGTTGTAAAACTTCACAGTTAGTTCTTTTATTAATCTTCACATATCTTTTAGTTAAAATATTTTAAAACCTCAGAGCCCTTTGATATCAAGATCCCTCCCTATCTGGGTACTTAGTCCACTTTCTCACTTCGTCACCACATGATGATTAGCTTCATTTTAACTTGCCAGCTTGAGAGATGCATACTGGTTCTGTGCAATACCCCAGCCACTTATCTTGATCAGGGATACCTGTTGGTCAGTGCCTTATGGATGAACAGATGACTTGTACTGCTGGGGTTTTAAAACACCTAGAAATTTAGTTTTAGTAGTTTTTATTAAGTTTGTCTCTTGACGTTTTTAAAATAAAAAATCAATGTTTTTTATTTTCTTACTTTAGTTATTTTTTCTTTTATCCAGGTTTTGTTTTTCCTTTCTATGTATAAATATTTTTTTCTTTTCTCACATTACAACTATAAATATTATTGATAAGACTTTATTTCTATTTCTCATTTTTAGTTGTTTACATATTATTATTTAAATTACTGTATATATTGTTAGGATTTTTATTAAGTTAGTTTTTTGCCTGATGTGTATTTTTTATTTGTACATCGTTATTCTGAGGAGACTTTGTCCCAGAATAAAGTTTAATTTTCTAAAAAGAAAAAATTATTGTACAAGCAATAACTAAAAAAAAAACTAGTGAATAACTCTAGTGAAACTAATTATAAAGCAGTGTTGTTAAAAGTTACCTGAATAACAAAAAATATTAATTCATTGTTTTTGGGGCTCTTTGGTGGTCCTCTTACATCGCGACCCTCGGCAATAGCTTACTAGCCAACCTGTCCAGATTGGGCTTGAGATTAATGTAAGAAGATTGTATAAATAAAAATAAGAAATATAGATTAAAATGTGAATTAAAAATCAATAATTTGTTTGTCAACAAAAACCAGTAACATCTTAAATCTAGATATATTATATTTATATCCCATAATTTTAGTAAATAGAGACTTTTTTTAAAGTTTATTATGTTTTATATTTTATTTCGAAAAAAATATTACCTTGGCCCATTAGAACCATATTAATTAGTAAAATTATTGAAAGAAGTATATTTTTTAATTTTTCTTAAATGGACATTTATTTCCATATTTTATTATTTAACTGTTGTTATTTTTAAATATTACAATCTTCCTAAATTTTAACCAACATTTAATATTATTAAAATATCCATATTACAACACTTAGTACCACATTAAGCTTTAAATATTTTATTAAAAAAATCTGTATTAATAAGTTATGAGCTATTTTCCCAATTATTGAAGGTATGTTAATGTTGTAAATATTGGAAGAGCCTTTATGATTTAAAATAATAATATTTTATTACTAGTATTATTATTTATACTCATGAATAAATAATTTTCTTGTACAATTAGTAATTATACTATCCCATCATAATGTAAATAAAAATATTTGAAGTCAAAACTGAAAAAGTATTTATAAGTTTCTTTTAAACTTATTCATATTCAGCCATTGTGTTTATCTGTTCTTCACTTTTTCCTTGTTGCTATAAAAATTTATTATTTTATAAAAATAATTTTTTTTTTTTTGTTTCAAGGGCATTGCAGGAACAGATGTAGCCAAAGAAGCTTCTGATATTATTTTAACTGATGATAATTTCAGTAGTATTGTCAAAGCTGTCATGTGGGGAAGAAATGTGTATGACAGTATAGCAAAGTTTTTGCAGTTTCAACTTACTGTGAATGTTGTTGCTGTAATTGTCGCATTTATTGGTGCTTGTGCTGTTCAAGATAGTCCACTTAAGGTATTGAATTAATATTTTAAAATGTTTGTTCATTACTTAACTGATTTGCTAATAGAATAACTAAATTATCTACCTACATGTATATCATTATACAGTCTTCTACCGCAATGAAATGAGAGGCACTTTTTCATACTTCATCCATCAACTGTTAGATTTCCTTTTATTTAGAATATTTCTAAGTGACAATATAAATATGATCTCTTTTAGGCTGTGCAAATGTTATGGGTAAATCTTATTATGGACACGCTTGCTTCTCTTGCTCTTGCAACTGAAATGCCGACATCGGATCTTCTACTTAGAAAACCATACGGCCGTACTAAACCACTAATATCTCGAACAATGATGAAAAATATCCTGGGTCAAGCAATTTATCAATTAGGAGTTGTATTTTCTCTTTTATTTATTGGTAAGTTTTTCTTATAATTTATTAATATGTTTTCATCACCTTTTATTTTCATTTTTTCTAGCATCCTTAATAGAAAAAAAACTAATTACAGAGAAAGTTGTATAACAAGTAAATATAAGCTTATTAATTATTTCAAGCCCTTATCATCAAATAAAATTGTGTTTTATTCAAATTTTCTCCCCATTGCTGATATAATATTGTATTCTGTTCCTATTTGAATTTTTTTTTTTTGTTATAATCAACAATTTTCGAATAATTTAAGTTGTAAATTATATTTTTATCATAAAATCTTATATTTTTATTCAAATGTTCTAAAACTTTTTTTCATTAGGGTACTCATGTGTTTTATTATTTATCGCTTACTTTTTATTATTTTATATTAATATTTTAATAACTGTTGTTTTTTATGAAGGTATGAATCTTTTATTGATCTACACTTAAAAATAAAAAAAACAGTTCGAACATGAATCATTGTTTTAGGTGACAAGATGTTAGATATTCCAACAGGAAGAGGAGCAGAATTTGGAGCTCCACCAACAGAACATTTTACAGTTATTTTCAATACATTTGTTATGATGACATTATTTAATGAAATAAATGCTCGCAAAATTCATGGTCAACGTAATGTATTTGAGGGATTCTTTACCAATCCAATATTTTATTGTATATGGATTGGGACAGTTGCAGCTCAGGTTAGGAAATTTATAGTGAATATTGTCTGAAACAAGATATTATCTATTTATTTTTATCAGAACTTTCCAATTACAAAAAAAAATTGTATTAACTAGGTGTTCATTATACAACTTGGAGGAAAAGCTTTTTCAACTCATGAACTAAGTCTAGAGCAGTGGATGTGGTGTTTATTTTTTGGTGTTGGGACACTCTTATGGGGTCAAATTGTTACTACTGTTCCAACAAGGAAAATTCCAAAAATACTATCGTAAGTATTTATTTTGGCTTTAGTTTTGTTTTATACTTGCCTTGTTGCTTGTTAATATCAATCTTGGATTTTTTTTTTATAAACTTATATTCATTTCAAAAATGTATAATGCATTTAACATAAAAATGTAGAGATAATTATTTTTATTTATCTTGTATAAAATGCTTAACTTAAAGTTAACAAATTCTTCTGGTGTTTGAATATTTGTAATAAGATATTTGTTAACTGCTGATAGTAACAGTAGGATATTATCAGCAGATAAACTAATATAAATATAAAATCCTGTTTTAGTTATTTCAAAACTCCTAAAAATTTTAATTTTTTATGATAAATGCAAATTTTTGATAAAAGTATGGCTCCTCAAGTTTTAATTTCTGAATCTTTAAAAATTGAGGTCTAATATTACTTTTATTTACCAAAATTTTAATATTTTTTCATAGAGCATATTTATTTTAAGTTGCTTTAATTTATTTTTCAGGAGCTGACAGTTTAAATTATATGTAGATTAGTTGTGTCTCAGGATTTCATAGTTTGGCTTTAAAAAATTTCAGGAACATTTTTTATGAATTATATTAGTAAAAAGATTTTGTATTTTAATACATTTTCTATAGTTCTCATATCAAAATGCTATTTAATATTATGAAAAAAGGTCAGGAATCTTTTGCTAGTTTATTTATTTAACTTTTTAAATTCCTAACATTCCGATTTTCTTTTAAAGATGGGGACGTGGTCATCCAGAAGAATACACAGAGGCTATTAACCTTGGCGAAGAGAAGTTTGATAGTGACAGTGATAAGAAACCAAGAGCAGGACAGATTCTTTGGATTAGGGGCTTGACAAGACTTCAAACTCAGGTAAGCACTTTTTACATTAGTTCCATTCTGATTTGTAGAAAATATCTTATTATCTCTATCCCCTTCAATAATATTAGGAACTGTATTTAACATTTTTACAAAGTACAATCACCCATTTTCCATTTATTCTTCTTTTCCTAAAATTTCTATCTTATTTTAGGATAATATTAGTTTTTATTTGAAACAAAAAAATGGATTTTCTTTTTATAACATGTCAAATCAATGTATATTTTCATTTATCTCCTCCAATACAGATAACAAAATTCAAAATTTCCATTATTTTTTTGTTTTATTTTTTCTGTATTATATATTTTCCAATATTCTACCAACATTATAAGATTCTGAATGGTTTATGACTATTTTTTTATAGTTCCTTTTATATTATTACTAAGGAGAATTTTTTAAAATACATATTGATGTCTGTCAAACATTGCTTTTTTTTTAACTTAAAGTGGCATTATAATTTATGTATATGTGAGCTGTAGCTAAAATTGATGTTCTCACATTTATACCTGGTGGCGGTAGGCATGAGCTTTCCTTTTTATGTCTTCTTTGTCACGAATAATTCAATGAATTTACTATCCCTGCTGTAGTTTTGGTATCTTAATTTTAGTAATACTGATAAATTTTTCTTCAGAATTGTAGGAATTTTTCCTATTTTAAACATATTGTTAGGGGATTAAGCATAAAATGTAACATCCTATAATTGAGAGTAATGACCTTTGTATGGTGGTGATACTATTGATTGAAAACATAGCTACTGCGGGTGTTTTCATTATTAAGAGTAATAAAAATAGAACAGTTAATTATAGATATTTTTATCTTTATATTTATATATATATATATATATATATATATAATATATATATATATATATATATATATATATATATATATATATAACAGTTAATTATAGATATTTTTATCTTTATATATATATATATATATATATATATATATATATATATATAACAAAATTAAAAAATTAAATTAAACCATCTGATAAAAAATAATAGTTTAGCTTGTACATGTGTATATCTTTTTCAATATGATTTTATTATTAATTCAATATAAATTAACTGTCTATTTAATCTATCAAATGTTGTATTTAGCCTTTATTTAAAAAAATAAATAAATTATCAGGATTAAATAGATTTAATTTACTTTGAATGATTTAATGTATTATTAACTCTTTTATGAACATTATTATGCCGTTATTTTGTCTACTGATTCATCTATTTTAATCTATATGATTGTAATAACCATTTTTTTTTTTTTTTAAATTTCTCTGTGCATGCCCAAACTAGGAAATAACAATCAAATGTTATTATAATTTATAATAAAGGTCCTTGAAATTTTTAACTGTTTTCATTTTTTAATACGATATATTAACACGTTGTATTATTAATGATAAATGGTTTTAACAGGAGAATCCTGCTTTGGTTACTGATACTTAAGTCTAATTATTTTTATATGACTACTATTAATAAAAGCTAGTAATCTGATTGTCGTCAATAATTCAATGAGGTCCCAATGGTAGTGTTTAGTAACATTTATAACAGAAATAAACAAATATTACTTTTTATCTTTAAAAATATTCTGTATTTTAACAACAATTAATGATTTTTAAGCCAAACTCAATTGATACTAGTTTCAGATTATAATGATTTTATTAAAATTAAAGTTAATTTAAACAATTTAAATCCACTTATGTCACCATAACATACTGATGGAAGCCCAGGTTCCATAATATTGGAAACTAGTTTATAATGTATTTGAATATTTCCTAAACTGCATTAATTTTTCTCTATATCAAGAATTGAGTCTTTTAACTCTATGGAATCTCGTAAATTATAGAAGTATTATCATAATAATGCTGCTTTCCTGCGTTAGATGCCAACATTAAACATTTAGAGATAAATGTTAGGTTATAATTGGAAAAATTACAACTGCACAGTCTTATGTCTCTAAAATGCAGGTAAAGAAAATATCCTGTGAATGTTTCACCAATTCAGGCGTCATCAAGATAGAAGAGAACAGCAAATCGAACATCACTACATGGCACCCAATTGCATACTGTAACTAATAGAGTATGTAATTGGGCATCATATAGTGATTTTCTATTTGCTATTCTCTTCTGTCTTAATGATGCCTGAATTGGTGGGATATTATCTTTAACTGCATTTTAGAGACATAAGGCTGTGGGGTTGGAATTTTTCCAATTGCAACCTAACATTTATGTTCTGTCTCTTGGCGAGTTTGTTACTGATTTTTATTTATTTAGAGATAAAGTTGTCTGGAGATTAACTTAATTGCAAATTATTTATTTTATGTTTTTTTTTTATTTCAAAACTGTCCTGACATATCTTTGTTTTTCAATTTCTCACAAAAATAATATATAAATAAAGGGGGCAACATTCTTTTTACTCTTTATTCTTTATTTCTTTCCCATTATAAAATATTGATGAGTGATTGAAATAACAGATATCTTAAAAATTTGATGTTTTTTTTTCTCTATTAGGGTAAGGAACATGTGCAATATGATTGTCTAGAAATTTATAATTTTATCCTTAGTCACAAAGATAATTATTTTAAATATAATTATAAGTCAAGATAAAATTTTTTATGGCAACAATAGTTATTTACAATAAGAAATGCAATATATGTGACAGCCAGGGATCAAGTCACCAACTACATATCTGCTATCTGAATTAAATGAGAAGTCAGATTTAAATAAGATTTATTTAAATAAAAAATAACTATGCTTGTAATTTATTGGAATCTTTTAGGAATGCTTTGATAGGAATAAGTACGAATTCCATCCCTATCCATTGAAATTTTTCTAACAAATTATTATTGTTTTTTACTATAGCCCTAGTACCAATGTCTTTCATTATGGCAGACTGTATTAATACTCAATAAAATAAAATAAAACTATTGTTTTTAACTAATAATCTTATTTACTTTGTGTCCTTTTTATTGGTTTTGATGGCATTTAGGTGTTACAATGTTTTTTAGTTTTAAATAATTAAAAAAAAAATTGATAATGCTTCAAGAAATTTTGATTTTGTGACCTAATTAATTTTTTTTTTTTTAATTTCAATACAGCTTAGTTATATTATATTTCATTTTGTTACTCTTTTTTGTTCCTATCTTTTAAATTATCTTAAAAAGTTGAAAGTATCTTTTTAATCCCTTTTCAGTGAACGTTAGATATTTTTTAAATAATAATTAATCCTGAAAATTAAATTTTTGATCATTATTTAGAAAAACAAAACATGATTTTTTATTTGTAAATTCTTGTTTTCTGCCTAGGTTTATTTAATGTTCAATGTACCTATGAAGCTTATTTATTTGAAAATTTGGCCAATTGTTTTGATATTCTAATTGCAAGAAAATTAATTTAAGAAATATAAAGTTAAACCAAAATAATACAAGTGTTACTTTTTATATTTAATTAGATTTTTTTTTCTTAAAACTATGAATCAAAAGTTATTTTGGATTAGTAGGAATAAAATTGTTGATGTTAGAAGATTATGATCAGGGGATACTCAAAATAAACAAACAAAAATAGTGTAAACTGTTTAATGTATGCTGAATTTTCAGCCCAATTTAGACCCAAATAAGACCTTTTAGTCTTGTTGGTTACTCAAAACAAATATGAACTGGTATAGGAATCTCATATTTAAATAATAAAAAGAACAATGAAAGGTGAAAAATAAAAGATAAAATATAATACTCATACAGTATTTTGCCACAAACATATTTTTATTTTACATTTTTCTTTTTAATAGCTGCATAAACTTGCTTGTATGAGTGCTGCAGATAGACCTGCAAAGTCGGTGGAAACATTATCATACATTTACTAGTTTCACACAAATTTTTACTGCACCTTTGATCATCATGTCTCATTTTAATTTAAAATGTAAATGCTATTTAATATTTATTTACAGTTAATTCTAATTTTGTAAATTTTAAAATGTTCATATTAAATTTTACTGAAGTGTGTTATTGGATCGTAAATCTCATTTCTGTTATAAAAAATTTATAAATTTATTTTTAAAATATTGTTTTTTTTTGTGATATCTGAGCATTAAATCAAATGCAATATTTATGATTTTTAAAAACGCTTTTAAAATTTACATTTAAAATGTATATAATAGGAGTATCACCATCACTGATCAATTCTAAAATCACTCACTCCTAAATTTACTTTTGAAAAAAAAAAAAAGGAAATTCTTATATTTGACATTGATTTTCGTCACTGGAACTTAATTTTAGATTTGTATTCCGAATATAGTTAGACAAGATAGCTGTGAAGTTGTTTTATTAAGCCCATCAAAGACTTTAGTATTTGATTGTGTACACTTTACTTTAGTAAGCATCCTGTCTTTTTAGCTTTAATAATAATTTTTGAAGGCTTTAGTCTGATCAAATAAATTTCAAATTTTATTTTAATGAGAAAATATTCTAAAGCATTGTAATAGATTAGTGCATTCACATCTCCCCAATAATTGTTTTCACTAATAATCATCAGTTCTGAATATTGAGGGGATTAAGAGTTATTTGCTGGGTCAAGAGTTGAGCTTACAAGGGAAAGTTATAATAAGTGAGTCATCGATTTCAACTAAATTTTTTTTTGGTGATACTACATCAAAAAATATTGAACATATATCCTGACATTCGTTCCAATGAGTCCTAGGACCTGAGAAAAAAATATTTTATTTTATTTATTTTAGTTTAAGGTGAAATTGGATTCATAATAAAGGTCTAGGGTGTATTTATTCCACCAAATTTATTTTTCTTTTCTAATTGCACTGTTGTTTTGGTTATGTCGCCATTTTCAAGCCAACTATAAGATTGATTAATGATGTTCATTATTTTAGTCCAACATTTTATATGTTCTGTCCTTAATTTGATTATAGTCTCTATTAATCTAGTCCAATTAAGGACAGAACATAAAATGTTGGACTAACATAATGAACATCATTAATCAATCT